AAAATTTCAAATTTGGGCTTTCAGATGCTCATATTCACAGCAGGATTACGTCATTCAAAATTGGATGGCTCTAGGTACCGTTGTTTTATCACAATGCGAGAAACATACATACATTTATCTTCAAATATAATACTGGGCGATAGTATGTGGTGGCAACGGTGGTTCAACGGTGGATAGTATTTGGTGGTTCAATTTGAAAAGTGATACACCGTTTATAGGGTAACGACACAAAACGCAAAACGAAAACAATAGTCCTTCAGGGACAATGCCCCTTTGGGAAAAAAGTTAGAGATCAGCATAAATGATTTTCTTTGATATAGCTTTAACAACGATTTCAGGTGTGGTGAAATTGTAACTCTATAAAATGGAGGAGACAATTTTGAATAGCAACTCGTAGCAGAAAAAAGTCTATGCACATAAGTAATTGCGCGGATTTCATGTTCTATGAAAGAGTTGTGATTTAATAGACATTATATTCAGTATAAGCCTCGTATGAAGACAATAATGACTGATCTTTACTTAATATGCTTCACAACAATAATCACTTAACACATGGACAGTATTCCTTCACTTTTATTTCATTACACTAATTATAAATAAGATGTCAGCGATGCGAAATAATTGATACAAAATAAGCGAGCCATTCTACATGGCTGTCACAAACACAATTCTATCAAATCAATTATCTTGTTGCCACACATAAAGTTCAAAACTAAAGGAAGAAAAAAAAAGAAATTTACGCTGTTTGCAACAATAAAATGAAGCAAACGATACTCACATAAACATCTTGGCCCTCGTTGAAATCCCAGGGGATTTCAACAGTTAGATCATTTTGAAACTTCTTAGTCTGTAATAAAAGATAAACATAAGAAAAATAATACAAAATATTATATGCGAAGCAGTTCATAGTTTTTAGTCTGAATAGGAAGAGGACACAATTTCACGACTGGTCGTTTTATGACACCATGACCAGTTTTAATACTAACAACTCTGATTCTATGATTTGAGCCCGGATGAACAGCAATTATTCTCCCTAACCTACATTTAAGAGGCGTAATGTTGTCTTCTTTGATGAGGACTAAGTCATTGACTTCTAAATTGTTTTGACGTTTTTGCCATTTAGGTCTTTGCTGAAGCTGAGACAGGTATTCTGGACTCCATCTTTTCCAGAAGTGCTGAAAAATAAACTGTCTCACATGCCATCTGTCATGGTGATTGAAGGAACTATAATTTAGGTCTGGTTCAAGTATGGCAGTTAAAGACGTTCCTATTAGGAAATGACCAGGTGTTAATGCAGTTAAACCATTTGGATCAGCCGATGTTGGGCACAATGGCCTAGAGTTGAGACAAGCCTTAATCTGCGCTATCAAGGTCTGAAATTCCGGATAGGTCAGCACAGTATCACCAACAGTCCTTTTTAGATGTAATTTCATTGACTTTACTGCAGATACCCATAGTCCACCAAAATGGGGAGATGATGGCGGGTTGAATATCCATTTTATTTCCTCTAAAGACAAAAATTTGTTAATTTCTCGATTTTGCTTACATTGCAAAAAACATTTTCTAATTTCTTTGTCTGCACCTTTAAAGTTAGTACTGCAGTCACTATAAATCCCAAATGGTTTCCCTCTTCTTGCAATAAATCGCTTTCAATGCACTTAAAAAAATGACCTTTGTTGACCAAATCTTCTACCACTTCAAGATGTACTGCCTTGCATTACAAAACACATAATTAAGCATACGTTAACATTTAAATGATTTTTGTGCACGTCCTGCACGATGTTTAATCATGAACGGTCCAGAAAAAATCTATACCAGTTCGATGAAATGGTCGCGATTGTTTTACTCTAGATTCCCGTAGATCAGCCATTATTTGACTTGCAGTTTTAGCTCTAAGTTTGCAACACGTGATACAAGATCTTACTACTTTTTCGGATAGCAGATCTAGCAGCTATGATCCAAAATTACTGTCTAATTAAAGATAGAAGAAGTTCCGGTGCTGCATGCAGATATTTGACATGAAAGTGTCTAATTATGATTTCTGTCAGATTGTGTTTTGAAGGTAATAAGATTGGATGATTTTCATTTTTTGATAGTTGCGCATTTTTCAGTCTTCCCCCTACACGTAACACTTTCTTGTCATCTAAAATTGGACACAAACTAAGGAGGTTGCTGTTTGTAAGTAAGTCCTTTCCTAACTCCAAACATTGAATTTCTTTAAAAAAGTGAAATCGCTGTATTATTCGGACAATACAGAAAGTTGCAACTCAAATTTCATTACTAGATAAAAAAGACGTATTTCTTTCTAGATATGCTACTTTAGAATTCGATATGAATCTTAATATCCAAGCAAATATGCGTTGTAACTTTGGAAATGAAGATATATTTGATATAATAACAAGTTCCTGTATAGGTTCAGAAACTACAAATGAGACTGTTTTACATGCTTCTGGTAATGCCTCTTCATCTATAAGAATATTTTTAGACAAGGCAATCTCACTGCACTTTAACGAAGAAGAACCGTTCCACCACAATTGATGAGATAATAGTTCTGCAGGAAATAACCCACGTGAAGCACAATCAGCTGGATTTTCTTTTCCATCAACATGACTCCAGTTCTCAGGTGATAAAACGGATTGTATTTCAGAAACTCTATTGGATACGAATACTTGCCATTTTTTAGGATCTGACCTTAGCCATGACAACACGATTTGTGAATCACTCCAAGCTTGCAATAAATCAAAATTTATAACTAATGCAGCTTTTACAGATTGAATCAAGCGTTCCAATAACACTGCTGCACATAATTCCAGTCTTGGAATCGTAATAGATTTTAATGGTGCTACACGAGTTTTAGCTGTTACGAGTTTAACATTAATGTCAGAGTTATTGCAAGTTTTGATATAATTAACTGCTGCATAACCCCTTTCAGACGCATCACAAAAACCGTGAAGCCACATCGAAAATAATCAGGTAGCAGAATTTTCCTAGGTATATTTATAGAATTCAAAAGTTTAACTTCTCTACATAGATTTCTCCAATTTCGATCAATCTCTTCTGTTACAGGATCATCCCATGATAATTGTAATTTCCACAATTGCTGAAGGATCATTTTAGCGAGAATTACCAAACGGAGCTATCCACCCCAATGGATCGAATAGCTTTGCTACGAATGACAAAATAATCCTTTTAGTCGAAACACTTTGATACTCTATTACACCGACTCTATTACACACAGTGACTTTATTCAAAAAATAGTAATTTTATATCTGAAAACTAAAATGACTTTCATATGTATCATACTGACTTATTTGTTTCATTACAAAAATGTTAGACACTGAAATATTCACTCGTAACAGGATTGTAATGATTTCATTGTTACCAAATTAGTTTTATAAAAGCTTTTATAGTCGTGCTCCGTATCCGCTGTATATAACATACGCGGTATATCGTGACCTAAGCCGCCCTCTGGGAATGATGGTGAAAGAAAGGGAAGCCATAGCTTTGGTAACGGATTCGAATTCCGGCGAAGACATTGATATCTGTAAATGCATATTCTCTTCGCAGCATGATGGCACTAAACTAATTAAATTTTAAAAAATTAATTTTTTAAAGTAATTAATTTAAAAATTTAATACTTGACTTTACATTGCTTATTTCTCAAAAAACTTCATTGGTATTTTCCTTTTAGAACTTTAATTTTTAATTGCTAATTTCTAAAGATACCACTTTATTGGTATTTCTTTTTGGACATTCTTCACTCTTTACTTTTGGTTTTGACTTTTACCCTTGCCTGCATGAATGACGAACACAAATTGAATGATTGGAGAGTTAGGTTTGGAGGCAACTTCTTCTTGATAAGTCTGTCTCCTGCCTGCTCAACAGTCATTCACTTATACATTTTTAAAAAAAAAAAAAAAAAAAAAAAAGATTAATTTTAATTTGCTAAATTGATGAATTTATTTTCATGGTTTGGTTTTGCACTTGATTTGCTTATGCTATCTGAATTTAAATGATATTGTAGAAAAGTTCAAAAATTAAATCTTTTATATGTTTGCACATTTTTTAATTATTTTAACCTTAAATTTGCTTTTTTACGTATATACATGTTTGTTAAATTTTAATTTGTTTAAATTTATATATATATATTGTAATAATAAAATTCCACAGTCAAAAATACACTTAAAATTCTAACTGTATGTTCTTTTCATTTTTTAATGGCGACGGTCTCTTATTTGAAAGTACTTGGAATTAAATCCACAGCCCCGTAGTCAAGTTGTTTTTCCCGCCTTTTCTACACGTACAGTTTTAGAATGTTCTGGAGATATTTAAAACGAACTTAAATGGCTGATGAGGCTGACGTCAGGCTATAAAAGGACTCGCAAAGGAATATAGGTGTCTTTTCTTTAATGTAACGATGCAGTAAACTTCATACAAAAAGTTATTATCTTTTTTTATTTACTCCGTAAATATGATTTTTGTAACTGCTATTTCTCCTGACCAATAATAAATGGATCCTGTTTTTTAAACTTATCGTCTGATAATTTAAGTTACGACTACATCTATGATTCTTCACCAATCTATTTATTCCGGACAAAAGCTGGTACATCATATATATATTAAACTAGTATATCTTCGTTGCTCAATCATCTCCTGAGAATTAGGCTAAAACCTCAAAATCCTTTGCTTTTGCTATTATCCGAGGTTTTTCATAACTGCGACAAATTTTAGAAGGTATTATGCAAACACGGAGGCAAAATTTTTTCAGGATATTAATAATCTTATCCTAATTATGAAACTCAAAATGAGACTTAATACTATTCTGAATAATTTATATTAAGGGCTTAATATGCAAGATTAAAACTTTTATATGTATCCTGAAGAATAAACAAATCTATTTTAGTTTAAAAGCAATAATTTTGTTTGGTACTTTGTTTTGAGTGCAATGTTTGTTGTAAAGATTCTCTTATACAAATTACAGTACGTTTAAGTGATGAAAATTTAGACAAGGGAATATAATTTTTATTGTATGTATACTTTAGTTACATTGCGATACTTCGGATCTTACGAAAAGCAATATACACGTCATCTTCAGTGAGATCAGAATGTAAGACACATCTCACACGATTGCCGAACCAGGGAGCTACCTTAACTACAGCTTTTTCTGTATCACTTTCTTTTACCTAAAATAAAACAAGAAAAAAAGGAAGTGTTACATTCCTTTCTTTTACAGATATGAACGAATTACATAATTTGATTCAAAACTTGTATTAGAATCAAAACAGAGGAGAAACACGTCAGAATAAAATCAAAATTTCCCTCGAAATCAATGCAGTTAAAACCTACCCTAAACACAAGCCTAATGTTAAGTTGTATTACAATATTATTTGTCTCTTTATAAGGAAAAGTGATCTCATCGATACATTCTAGTCTCTCTTCTCGTACGCAGACAGATGATTCGATGGACATATTTCTTCATTAATGAAATAATCATTGAAATAAAAGCCTGAAACATCACTGTCGTGTATTTTTTTGCCGTCGATCAGTCAACTTCCTTCAATGCCACCGGAAAAGAAGAGAGAAAGAACTCTAAAAGCCCACGATAGAGACAGGTAATTAGGATTAGTCTGCTGGGTGTTCTCGCCTGAGTTCGGATTTTAGGCGGTGTGGTTGATGTAGCTTTGTAGGGTATCACTTGAAACACTCAATGGAAGCATACATGACCACGTTAGATCTCACCTCGGGTATTTTCAAATAGCTATGAAACCCGAGGATATCCAAAAATCCGCATTCATAACACAAGCAGGAACTTATGCCTCTCTCAGAATGCATTTCGGCTTGTGTGGAGTCCTGGCGACCTTCCAGCCTACCAAAGATATCATTTTAAAACCTGTCCTCCGAAAATTTACTTCTATTTACCTCGACGACGTAATAGTAACTATAAACTATAGTAGTAACAGTAGTAATAGTAACTATAAACTATAGTAGTAACAGTAGTAATAGTAACTATAAACTATAGTAGTAATAGTAACTATAACTATGCTTTTAGAGTATCGATGAACATATTAAAGACTTAAATGAAGTTTTCACATTATTAACAGAAGCAGGTTTAAAATCAGTGCGGCTAAATTCAAATATGTGGCAAAAGAGCTTAAGTACCTCTGCTATAAAATTTCGGAAAGGGGCATACAAACTGAAGATTTTAAAATAATAGCAATAAGAAATTATACCAATTCTTCGTAGTCAATCACAGCAAAGAAATTAGCTTAATTTTTGGGCATGTGTTCTTACTATCGAATATTTACAAAGGATTTTGCACAAATAGCCGAACCGCTGTTGAATTAAAACAATGAAAAGCCCGGTTTTCTTGGTCAGCTGAGGTTAATACGGCGTTTGAAAAGTTAAAAACTGCGATAGAACAAAACCCGATTTAAAAATTTTCTGAAGGGGACGAAAATACTTCAATTTTAGCGGACGTCCAAATTACGCTATAGGCACTGTTTTGTTGCAGCTTTTTCCAAAACTTTGTGAATCTAACATAGCTTAATTACAGGGCCACAGAGATAAAATATTGGCTGTACTTTTAGCGGCGCCAAAGTTTAAAGTAGATTTCGATAAGGCACCGATAACTGTGCATTCGGATCATACGGCTGTGCGTCGATTATACTCGGAGAAAAATTGTCCCCGAGGTTAATCAGATGCACTTTAAAATAACAAGAATACAACTTAAACATACCCCCGGAAAAGACAATTTTGTGGTCGATGCCTTATCAAGAATAAAATTAGACGAAGAGAGAAAGGAAATAAAATGTTCTTATGTTAACAACGAAAATCTTTGACCTGTCGTGAAACTATCATTGCAGAATTACAAACTGGTCCAGAATTTAGTCATATCTATGCATAATTAAAGATCCGAAAAATTTTTAACATCCATATATAATGGCCATTAGAAACAGAGCTGAAAATTATGAGATAATTGATGATGTCTTATTTTATGCTAAAACAACAAATCAGAATATTGAATTAAAACCGGTCATCTCAGCCAGTTTACGGTTTAGTATTTTGCAAGAATTACATGATGCATCTACTGCAGGCCATCTTGACATTAGGAAAATGGTACAGAGGGTAGGCGAGGTGGTCTTTTTTCCGCCACTTCAAAAATTTATTACGGAATATATCAGATCTTGCCATATGTCAATTATTTAATTCCAAAGGTCAACAAGCAAGAACCGCAGAAGTGACTTATTACTGTTAGTATGCGTGTCTGTATTATATGTTCATCTTGCAATATTTATGCCTGAAACGTCTCATGTTTAGGTACCACCTCTCTGTCATCTGCAAATACTCTTCATTTGTATTTCCTAGCATCAATATGCAACTAGCTTTTGTCTGGCATTGTATGCTTTTTAAGATCTCTAAATAAACTTCTAGTGCGGTGCTGTTAAGGCACCAGAGGGTGTTTGCCCAGATATTCCAATATCACCGCATTGGCACCGAATCAGGTATTGTCCGGAGTTGCGGCAGCAGTACCGTATCCGTCCGCAACAATACCCGAATAGTCTATGTAAGCCGCCCGGATGTCCAGACCCATTTTCACCTGTCGTCGCTCTCGGTCAACCGCTACCTTCTTGACGTTCTATACGGTCCATGGTTCCCTCTATTCCTGCCAACATCGTGGAATATTAGAATCTCTTTGACCCAAATGTCTAGAGATCCTACAAGTTGGCCACCCTGCTTCCTTTAATCCAATTGCATGCCCTCTCTCAAATGGTGGCATCTGCTCATGCTGCTCGCGAACCCATCTGTGAAGCATTGGTGCATTCCATGTGGGCAGACGGAACCACATTGGCATGGAAATTATTCCTCGAATTGGAATTTTCTTTATTTTCTGTACCATTCGGATGCTCTGCTGCAATGCGCTGGAGCACCAGCTAATCAGTCATTGTCAAGTTAATCATTTGAATATTCTGTCGTAAGGTACCGCTATACGCAATTTCGTCTCATTCGGTAACTCCTTCTTGGTTCGTCACTTTTACGTTATAGAAAGTATTCTAGAATGTTCAATTTTGTTTCATGGCACTAAATAGGTTTGCTTTGGTTTATTTAATCACGGCAAAGCCCACTAGGTCTATCTGCCTAAAGGGAGGGATGCCTTCGTGGAGGTCTTTCTAAGGGAAACTGGCTCGTATACACGTTACACATGGGGAAAACCACGAAAACGCCCATGCAGCCAGCCCGTTCGCGGGATTCGAACCTCGGACCGAACTACCACTGTTCAGCGACTTTACCGCTCGGCCGCTGGTGGGCCAAGGCACTAAATAGGAGTTTACATGTATAGTTAAGCATCAAAATATGAGTTTAAATGTTTTAGAAACAAGAACTGACTGTTTCATGCATTTTCAAACAACAGATAAAATACCAGACACTACTATAAAATAATGTTGCGTGCGTACGGGTTCGTTATGAAATGAATGCACAAGTCCGATGAAAAATGAACAAAAATTTATTATTATCACAACAAAAATGCTTAAATTTTCTCAAATTATCATGCAGTATTACAATATCTCACAGTAGTTATCTTTTAACTACTCAAATATCCAATAGAACGTAATTCAAAACAGCTAAAGAACGCTAATCCGCGAATTCGCTACAATCAACAAGAGCAGTTTTCTAAACAACAACAAACTAAGCAAGCAACTACAAACTGAGATGTTTTCCTCCTTTTATAAGATTTTAAAATCACGCGCTAGAATTTTCTAGTACTTTCTGGAAATCAAAAAGATATATTTATTTATTTAACGCACGCGCTCTTGTATTTTTAATTTTTCCGGCTTAGCTTTCTTTTAATATTCGTCACGCGCTGCACTGCGCGAGAAATAAAGCCATTTAATTTATAATTGAACTAACATTAGCTTTTTAAATACCAAATTCGTAACACTGCCCCCTTCCCAAGGACTGCACGTCCCTGGCAGTACAATCCCTGGACAGGAAGCTAAACTTACAACTGTGGCATAACATTACATTACAATATCAAACAACATGAACAATAAATGCAATAACTAACTTAAACAAATCAAATGCTATCAAATACTAAATACAAAACAAATACTAAATACAAATCAAATCAAATACACATTTAAAAACATAAAGGACCATGGTCTGATACTATTTACAATTATTTACATTACGTACTATGGCCATAGTAATAAGCTAACCTGTCGTAAGAGTTCGAAGACTCACGGATCCGAACCACGACGTCATTCGTGTTCAGCACTGTATATGGACCATCCGAAGGTGACTGTAATTTAGGACTCAGTCCTTTTCGTTGAATTGGGTTCCACAACCACACCTTGTCTCCTTTGTTGGATCTCTGTCTAGTAGCTCTTGTGTCGCATCTGGTCTTCATTTTCTCCGTCGCCAAGTTGACTCGCTTTCGTGCAGAACGGTGCATCCCCTCAAACCGGGCCTGGGCATCTTGAATGTGTTCCTCAGGCGATGAAGGCGCATCCGTAGGGCGACTAAACAGGCGGTCACAAGGCAGACGAAGGTCTCGACCGAAGAGCTTCTGGGATGGAGAATAGCTGGTAGTCTTGAGTTTCTTTTCGACCCTGGTATGATTTCGGCAGCTTCCCGAGCTCGATCTTTCGGACAAGGCGTCGACATTTCCAGGCGAGGATCCCTTTTGAGGATGGATAGTCATGCCATCAGATGCTGAAAGCAGCTTATTGTTTTTGAAATCTAAGGAAAAATTGTATTTCCTTAAAAAGTCCAATCCGAGTATGCATGGATCTGTAATATCCGCCACATATGCCGTGTGATGGTAGGCGGCACTTCCAAACGTGATGTTTACGTTTAACTTCCCAGTTATGTCGATCTTGTCACCAAAACGCAGTCTGAAGGGTAACACAGGATGGCGTCCAAATAAGTTTATCTTTAAACTGTTCAGCTAAATCTTTCCTAATGATGGTAACATTAGCTCCTGTGTCAATGATCATATTGCAAGGAACTCCATCGATATTCCCATTGATGGACAGTCCGTTATTATTGCCACTCACTATAGAGATCTTAAGCGCTTTAAAACAGGGTTTTTCATTATCTGGCAACCTCCGTTCCTTGATATGATCATTAATTTGTTTCCTGCGCCGTTGCTCAGAAATTGTCTCAATTTTCGTACCCTGGGGTGTTCTGCAATTCTTTCGTACGTGGCCTTCAGCTCCACAGTTCCAGCACTTTGGTTTCTTGTTAGTCCTTTTCCTTCCCGTGGCATTTAATTGTCTGTTTAAATCGTATCTGCCTTATTTTCCGGTGCTCTGGGGAGTTCTGCAGTTCCTTCGTAGGTGGCCTTCAACACCGCAATTCCAGCAGTTACAGCACTTTAGGGTCGGTTTCTGTTTCACCACTATTCCGTCTCAAAGGCATTCACTGATTCTGTCAACTCATCCGTTTCATTATCCGTGCCCTGGGGTGTTCTGCAATGCCGTCGTAGGTGACCTTCAGAACCACATCTCCAACATCTTACAGCCACTTTGTTCTCACTGCTACTCCGTATCAAAGCATCGACTTGTCTGAATAAATCATCTAAACGAGCCATTAATTGGTCCCCTGGGTCGTGGACTCGCACAGCTCTGACTGGGTAGCGGTCTCGACGAGTGGCTTGCTGGGCTGCCTCAAATTTCATGGCGTACACTAGAGCACTTTTTAAATCTTTTACATCCGCCATTCGTAAAGCTTTCTGTATTTCAGTATCTCGGATGCCGTCGATAAAGTATTGCAAGGACAGGATTTCCCTTGTTTCTGTCGGGCATTCCGAAAAGGCGAGATGGGACAGCCTTTCAACATCCGTGGCGAGCTCCTCAAGTGTTTCGGTAGGCTTCTGTTGACGAGATTTTAATTGGAGCCTGCTGTAGTCTTTTAAACACTTCTCCCCAAAGCGCAGCTCCAAGGCGCCGGACAAAGCTTCGAAATCTAACCTTTTGTTTTCGGGAAGAGTCTGAAGGATATCCGCTGCGTCTGCTCTCAAAGAAGCGGCGAGATGACAGGCCTTAGTTTGGGAATCCCATCCATTCGCATCCGCCACTATAGCAAATTGTGTTTTATACACTTGCCAGGATGTCTTCCCATCATATGTGGATAGCTTCAGAGATGGACGAGTAGGCATCGGTAAGAATTTAAAACCATCACTATTATTCCCTGCTGTCGCTACGAATTTCTTTAAAATATCCACTTCTTTGGCTACTGCAGAAACCCTATCATCAATTTGTTGTTCGATTTGGTGTTGGACGGCACAAACTCTTCCTTCAATTCGTTCCTCCACAGCAGAAACTCTCCCTTCTATATGTTCTTTTACAGAAGAAACTTTTCCTTCTATTTCTTCTTTCACCGAAGAAACTCTTCCTTCAATTTGATCTCTTACGGAAGAAACTTTTTTTTCAATTTGTCCAACTTTATTTTCAACTGTGTCAATTCTGCCTTCTATAGCTTCAAATTTATTTTCTATTATGCAGGTAATTTCTCTTTTCATTTCTTCTTGACCAGCTTGAACGGCTTTCATTTCGTCCTTAACGGATTCCTGGCCCAATTTCATTTCTTCCTTAACGGATTCCTGGCCCAATTTCATTTCTTCCTTAACGGATTCCTGGCCCAATTTCATTTCTTCCTTAACGGAGTTGACGGCCCCTTCCATCTTTTCTTGGAAAGCAGCAAATGCAGTCATCATTTGCCTGAATTGTTCTTCCATCGCTCTTGTTATTGGCATTCAAACCCCACTCCTGACACCAAAAATTGTTGCGTGCGTACGGGTTCGTTATGAAATGAATGCACAAGTCCGATGAAAAATGAACAAAAATTTATTATTATCACAACAAAAATGCTTAAATTTTCTCAAAGTATCATGCAGTATTATTACAATATCTCACAGTAGTTATCTTTTAACTACTCAAATATCCAATAGAACGTAATTCAAAACAGCTAAAGAACGCTAATCCGCGAATTCGCTACAATCAACAAGAGCAGTTTTCTAAACAACAACAAACTAAGCAAGCAACTACAAACTGAGATGTTTTCCTCCTTTTATAAGATTTTAAAATCACGCGCTAGAATTTTCTAGTACTTTCTGGAAATCAAAAAGATATATTTATTTATTTAACGCACGCGCTCTTGTATTTTTAATTTTTCCGGCTTAGCTTTCTTTTAATATTCGTCACGCGCTGCACTGCGCGAGAAATAAAGCCATTTAATTTATAATTGAACTAACATTAGCTTTTTAAATACCAAATTCGTAACAATAATATTTACAATTTGCTAATACAATTGTTCACTTTTACTGCAAGATATCAGTATCAGATGTTGCTTAAAGTAGTTAAAATTGCTTTCGATCAAATCATATTAGTATTTTGTATCAATTTCAAAACAAATTATCATCTTAAATAATTCGAAAAAATAGGGCTTAAAATGATAAAATTTGTTTCGAATTCGAAGTTTGACCTAGTCTTTTCGGATGTTGAATTTTTGTCTGACCGTTAATAAATATAATTTCATATGAGAATAAGTGTAGAGTCTAAACTTATTACACTATGAAGAAAGTAATGTATATATAAATCATGTCTTATATTAGTTACACAAGCTTGATTAATTGTTTGTTTATTAAAATTAGTCAATTTGATTTAAAAACTTCAAATTAAGATACAATCCGCTTTTGTCGAAAAAGAAAAAAATTTATTTTAAAACCTCATCAGTATAACTGATATCTCAGAGCATTAGATAAATAAAACATAATTTTTGTACTTACAGTAATTTAGCTTGATACTTAAGCATTTCTGTATTTAAAATTTTTTAATTGAAATTAATAAAATCTCAATTTCATATAATGCCACTTTAGTTATTCTTTTAAAAGTAAAATCTTTGCTTAAAATGTCTTTAGATATTGAAAGTTATCATAGCCTACATTAATTCTTCATTCTAGATTTTTTTAATGCAACCTCTTTATAAATTAATAACATTTGAATAAATATATAATTTATACATGATTTATACATCTTAATAACGTTATACGCTCTAAAAAATAAAATATTCGTTCATATTGTTTCAATGATCATAAGATCTTAGGAGAATGGTAAAAATGTTTCACATACCAAAGCCATTCTATCGGCAAACTGCTCAGAGGTGAGATGAGGCGAAGGAAAATTTAGCAAGATCATATTCGATTCTACGATTTCTGAATTGACGACAATCAATTCACTGCCTAAATTCTGTATATCTATTGAAAGAAAACAGTTTAATCAGCTTTCGGAGGGGAAAAATAGTTTCTACTATTTAAATGAAATTTTAATTGCACAACCCGGCTTTTCGGTTGTAAAAACTTGATACATATTCTCCAGCATAAATTTAATAGTAGAGTGTATTAGTAGTTATGATAGTTTAAAATAATATGCAGATATCTTATGATGATAGTATCTAACATTTTTTTTTTTTTTTTTTTTTTTTTTTTTTTTTTTTTTTTTTGATTTCCCGCTGCTTTGGTGAGTAAAATTGCTCCCTTCTTATTTCTGAAATTTAAGTATATCTAAATATTGCTGGCAATTATTACACATTTTTTATATTTCTTAAACAGTCTATATACTGAAACAGCTCCCTGTATCCTATATCCTACTTTGAAACAGCTCCATGTAATTTCTTTCATTTCGATTTCAGTACCATTCAGTGGAGATGGAATTATGTTCTTAAAAATGCTTATAAATAAAGTAAACCTTTAACATTTTTAGTGTACAAATTTCCCATTTACTAATGACATTACTTATTTATCAGCAGGTACATTATCTTCCTTTCTAATCAATACTAGAGTTTAATTCTTCACGACATGGACTAATAACTTAATCAATAAAAATTTCATTTTTCTGCGCTATCTATCCAACAAAATTTCAGTTCTCTGATGCAAGCATTTTTCTTAGGACTAACCTCTTCATTGCTGCTTTGCATTAAAATAAGGAACTGCGATGACTTTTCGTTTCTGTGATAATCATTTTCTACACTAATTTCAAAATGTCGAGCCGCAGTTCTATTTCAACGTTCTTCTGCATGAACAATAACGTTTCCCTTCAATGTAGCTTTCGAAAGTAGCTTCAAAGTAGCTTTCTTTTTAATGTACCTTTTCGAAAACCGTAGCAACCTAATTTTTCTGTATGTCAAGGAGTTAATGACATAAATATGCGTTTTATTAGCTCCTGGGATCTGTATATCCTAGCATTTTCTACTTTTCATGCAAATTTCAGAATCGCAGTGTGATTCCTTCATGGTGTATAAATTTTAATAATAATCAGAAGTGTATTCAGTAGGAAAAATAATAAAGATAACAATTAATTTGTACTCAAATAACTTTGTGGCTTATTATATTGACACGAATCTTAGTCAAACCTGAACTGAGAGGTGATAGCCTGGTGCAGCAAATGGATCGAAAAGACGATTCATGGAAACCAGGTAGTCAGTCATAAGCAATATGTAGAATGTAGAATTGCATTAAATATCATGATTTGAAACAGTGCTTCTCAATGCATGTCAAAGCTTCCTAATTCAATAATCATAATATATTTTTAAGGATTTTTAACTATCTTTTCAAGGCTAATGTAACTCCACTCCCAGGCATTCACCTGGCGCAAGTGGCTCATCTGACTTATCCTTATCCCCAAAGCAGAGTTAACCACCAAAGCAAAATAAGCACGTTCCTTGGCCATCAAGGAACAGGCGCAAGACAAATATTTTCGACTGCCAATTTTGCTGTTAAAATATATAACATGATGTGGGAAAACCAAGACTGAGAAAAACGGTATGAGGGGAAACAAATGTAAATTTATGTGGGCAACAGAATCTTTTAAGTGCTCACCGCATGTAATATTCTTAATCGACTCCACTTATACTGTAATCCTATTTAAAACGATGTAGATCTAATTTGATTTAGCAGTTTAATCAGTTTTTCTCATACTCAATAACAGAAAACAAAAAAGTTAATAGATATTTGTAAAGTTTCAGAAATATAAGTGCACACAAACATATATATATATATATATATATATGAAAACAACAACACAAGGAAAAGACGTAACTCTACTGATGCGTAAGGGTAGATCCATATTGAAGAGGAAGCATTGTGATTGCGTCGTAAGCTAGTAGGTTGATTTCGTAATATATAAGAAAACTTGGCAGTTGAGGCAGTTTTATTTCCATTTTTATTTTCCAGTTGACGCTTGTGGCCACAGTTCACTTGGCACTCTGGTCGTGCCTATTCACAGAACATTTATATTTTTTAATATTATTGCGATAGCGAGCCAAGACGGCGAAATCATATCCTAGCAGGATAGCGAGCGAAGCTGAAGGACGTAGTTAAACCTATCCGGAAGCACACTAAGTGATTTTTTTTTTTTTTTTTTTTTTTTTTTTTTTTTTTTTTTTTTTAAGTTTAAAAGCTTCAGTTTCCAATTATTACGTCATCAGTTCTGCGCAGGCCATGCGAAATGGAATGATCTAGAAATGACGCTATTCAGAGAATTTATTACGATTTTTAGACAGAGAGGGAGAATTAAAGTTTTACCGTTAGTTTGAATTATAATTTTGATCCACATATTGTTTATCTTATATATCCCCCCCTTTAAAGAGAAAAAGGCTTGGCGACAGAAAAGCCTTTTTATAAAAAGCATTGTAGAATTAGAGAAACAAGGGAAATGCAATAGTTTAAAAATCATAAAATCTGATATAAATAATTTTTTTTAAATAAAAAATCTTGTAGATATCATTTTTAACAATAAATTCAAATTGAAAATTCTATTGAGTTCTATTCTATTCTATTAAGTTCATTCTTTTGTAAAATCACTGAAGGAATGTCCTAATTTTTTTCAAGAATACCAGAAAAGTCCACAATTCCATAAAATCTTATCTTGAATATCATAATCATAATATTTTACAGTCCTTAGCTTCTTATCTTCAAAGTCTTTCATTAAAATTGATGTTGCCAAATTTTTCTATTATAGATTCATGAAATTTGAATTAATTATTTATACATAATCCGCTGCTTTAAAAAAATAATTGGCAACCTCAAAATTAACATTCTAACTAGATTTGGTGCTCCCCCCCCCTAAATTCATCTGTTCTCCCAAATTCGATATTTTCTATGTTATGTAACGGCACGTGAAAAGGACAAACTAATATTAACCAATCATAGCTTGTCTCTAGAATCGCAGCTACTTTGGTGTAAATACCGCTGGCGAGTTAATTACGTCATTATTATTTTTCTGCTAACTTCTACATTGCTAATATCTCTCCGCTTCGCTTCTTTAAAATGCCTGCGTCATTGCTTTTAAAAAACAAATGTACATAAAAGTTTATCATACTTCATTATGACTGAATCATAGAAATACATCGGATTTCATTATGATTGGATAAATTCTATGCGTGGAAATAAAGATGATAATTGACTGAACTTAGTTTGATATCAATTTTTCCCCTCGCCCTGCCACTCAGCCATCGCGGCTACGCTTCGAAATTATGAAAGTTTTAAAGTCTACAGGATATGTACGTGCTGCCCAAACCCCAATATGTTTTAGTTCAAAGTATAAAAGGATTAGTGTTGTTTTTCCTTTTAGCCGTTCTCGGTAAAGTGCGGACGTTTTCCCAATTGTATTTCAACAATATCCAGTGACTGGACTGCGAAATGAAAAATTAGAAATTTGATTTGAAAGTTCATCCATCTTTACAACGTAATGACGTCTTCTAAGATCTTCGGGCGTTGTGATCTGCGTGGGTTTTCCTGTTTCAAAGCTGTCTAAAGCGAAAAGAATTCATCTAACGTGTGGAGTGAAAACATTGAAAAAAATCGTGTGACGACATCTGGATACTTCTAATGCTGTTCGTGTTTTTTTTTTTTTTTTTTTGTGTGTGTGTGTGTGTGTTATATGTGCAAAGTGATTCAATATTCAAGTTTGGTATTTCACAATTTTTCCGAAGTGTATTATTGGTGCTTCAAATTTGAGCTTTCCGTGTATTAAGTGCAAAGTGATTGGTGAAAATTTTTCAGAAAAGTGTATCGTGATTCAGTTATTTAAAGTAAATTCTTCAGGAAAAAATATGCATCATTTTCTAAATTTTTCAGACATTTCAGTACGTAATTAATGCGATTCTAGAGACAAACTATGATTGGTTAATATTAGTTTTAGTTGCACTTTTCACGTACCGTTAAATAATATAGAATCATATCAAATTTGGTAGAATAGATGAATTTACGGGGAGAGCACCAAATCTAGAATGTTAATTTTAAGGTCGCCAATTGTTTTTCAAGCAGTTATCATACTTTCTTATATCTTATATTACTTAATTAAAAAATAATTGGCGACCTCAAAATTAATATTCGAGATTTGGTGCTTTCTCCCTAAATTCATCTGTTCTCCTAAATTCGGGATCTTTCTATGTTATGTAACGGTACGTGAAAAGGGCAACTATAACTAATATTAACCAATCATAGGTCTCTAGAATCGCGCCTACTTTGGCATAAATACCGCTGGCGAGTTAATTATTATTATTATTCTGCTAGCTTCTACATTGCTAATATCTCCCCGCTTTGCTTCTTTAAAAAACCTGCGTCATTTCTTTTAAAACACCAATGTATATAGAAATTTATCATATCCCATTATGATTGAATCATAGGAATACATCGGATTTCATTATGACCGGATAAATATCTACTGAAATGATTTTATACGCGTGGAAATAAAGAAATGATAATTGGCTGAACATGGTTTAATATCCAACTTCTTCCTTTCGGCCTACCACTCAACCATCGCAACTGTGCTTCGAAATTATGGCATATATATTATAGAGTCTCTGAGTATTCTTTGGTAACATACACCTTTGACTCTACGTCAGAGATGAAGTAGCGAATTCTCGCTGTGTCTTTAAGAATAAATGCTGCAGAAGAAAGGTTTCAATAACCTTTTGAATTAAACTAAATTAAAACAGAAGCACGCACTTCGTGCACACAAATCACCACCACATGTGGCTACGTAAATTAACAGAAAATAAGAATGTAACAAATCACTAGTAAATTAAGATATCTAATGACTGGCTCCTTAGCTTTCCCAACCGGTGGTTCGCGAACCCTCAGGGGTTCACAGTGCTTGCAGAGGGGGTTCGCGGAAATAATATTGTAATGGCGGATTTTTTAAAACGCCATTAAAATAAAAAGAGGGAAAAAAACACAAAAATTAAAAAACACAC